TGTAGAAGAGACTGAAGAAGAGGGGACACATGTTGATGTAGAAGAGACATGAAGAAGAGGGGACACGTGTTGATGTAGAAGAGACATGGAGAAGAGGGGACACATGTTGATGTAGAAGAGACATGAAGAAGAGGGGACACATGTTGATGTAGAAGAGACATGAAGAAGAGGGGACACATGTTGATGTAGAAGAGACGTGAAGAAGAGGGGACACATGTTGATGTAGAAGAGACATGAAGAAGAGGGGACACATGTTGATGTAGAAGAGACATGGAAGAAGAGGGGACACATGTTGATGTAGAAGAGACATGAAGAAGAGGGGACACATGTCGATGTAGAAGAGACATGAAGAAGAGGGGACACATGTCGATTAGAAAAGACATGAAGAAGAGGGGACACACGTCGATGTAGAAGAGACATGAGAAGAGGGGACACATGTTGATGTAGAAGAGACATGAAGAAGAGGGGACACATGTTGATGTAGAAGAGACATGGAGAAGAGGGGACACATGTTGATGTAGAAGAGACGTGGAGAAGAGGGGACACATGTTGATGTAGAAGAGACGTGGAGAAGAGGGGACACATGTTGATGTAGAAGAGACATGAAGAAGAGGGGACACATGTTGATGTAGAAGAGACGTGGAGAAGAGGGGACACATGTCGATGTAGAAGAGACATGAAGAAGAGGGGACACATGTTGATGTAGAAGAAGACATGAAGAAGAGGGGACACATGTTGATGTAGAAGAGACATGAAAAGAGGGGACACATGTTGATGTAGAAGAGACATGAAAGAGGGGACACATGTTGATGTAGAAGAGACATGGAGAAGAGGGGACACGTGTTGATGTAGAAGAGACATGGAGAAGAGGGGACACATGTTGATGTAGAGAGACATGGAGAAGAGGGGACACATGTTGATGTAGAAGAGACATGAAGAAGAGGGGACACGTGTTGATGTAGAAGAGACATGAAGAAGAGGGGACACGTGTTGATGTAGAAGAGACATGAAGAAGAGGGGACACATGTTGATGTAGAAGAGACATGAAGAAGAGGGGACACGTGTTGATGTAGAAGAGACATGAGAAGAGGGGACACGTGTTGATGTAGAAGAGACATGAAGAAGAGGGGACACGTGTTGATGTAGAAGAGACATGAAGAAGAGGGGACACGTGTTGATGAAGAGACATGAGAAGAGGGGACACATGTTGATGTAGAAGAGACATGGAGAAGAGGGGACACATGTTGATGTAGAAGAGACATGGAGAAAGGGGACACGTGTTGATGTAGAAGAGACATGAAGAAGAGGGGACACGTGTTGATGTAGAAGAGACATGAAGAAGAGGGGACACATGTTGATGTAGAAGATACATGAAGAAGAGGGGACACATGTTGATGTAGAAGAGACATGGAGAAGAGGGGACACATGTTGATGTAGAAGAGACATGAAGAAGAGGGGACACATTCGATGTAGAAGAGACATGAAGAAGAGGGGACACATGTTGATGTAGAAGAGACATGAAGAAGAGGGGACACATGTTGATGTAGAAGAGACATGGAAAGAGGGGACACATGTTGATGTAGAAGAGACGTGGAGAAGAGGGACACATGTTGATGTAGAAGAGACATGGAGAAGAGGGGACACATGTTGATGTAAAGAGACATGAAGAAGAGGGGACACATGTTGATGTAGAAGAGACGTGGAGAAGAGGGGACACATGTTGATGTAGAAGAGACATGAGAAGAGGGGACACATGTTGATGTAGAAGAGACATGAGAAGAGGGGACACATGTTGATGTAGAAGAGACGTGGAGAAGAGGGGACACATGTTGATGTAGAAGAGACATGAAGAAGAGGGGACACATGTTGATGTAGAAGAGACATGAAGAAGAGGGGACACATGTTGATGTAGAAGAGACATGAAGAGAGGGGACACATGTTGATGTAGAAGAGACATGAGAAGAGGGACACATGTGATGTAGAAGAGACATGAAGAAGAGGGGACACATGTTGATGTAGAAGAGACATGAAGAAGAGAGGACATGTTGATGTAGAAGAGACATGGAGAAGAGGGGACACGTGTTGATTAGAAGAGACATGAAGAAGAGGGGACACATGTTGATGTAGAAGAGACTTGAAGAAGAGGGGACACATGTTGATGTAAGAACATGAAGAAGAGGGGACACATGTTGATGTAGAAGAGACATGAAGAAGAGGGGACACATGTTGATGTAGAAGAGACATGAGAAGAGGGACACATGTTGATGTAGAAGAGACATGGAGACGAGGGGACACATGTTGATGTAGAAGAGACATGAAGAAGAGGGGACACATGTTGATGTAGAAGAGACATGAATAAGAGGGGACACATGTTGATGTAGAAGAGACATGGAGACGAGGGGACACATGTTGATGTAGAAGAGACATGGAGACGAGGGGACACATGTTGATGTAGAAGAGACATGAATAAGAGGGGACACGTGTTGATGTAGAAGAGACATGAAGAGAGGGGACACATGTTGATGTAGAAGAGACATGGAGAAGAGGGGACACATGTTGATGTAGAAGAGACATGAATAAGAGGGGACACGTGTTGATGTAGAAGAGACATGAAGAAGAGGGGACACATGTTGATGTAGAAGAGACATGAAGAAGAGGGGACACATGTTGATGTAGAAGAGACATGAAGAAGAGGGGACACATGTTGATGTAGAAGAGACATGAAAAGGGGACACATGTTGATGTAGAAGAGACATGAAGAAGAGGGGACACATGTTGATGTAGAAGAGACATGAAGAAGAGGGGACACATGTTGATGTAGAAGAGACATGGAAGAGGGGACACATGTTGATGTAGAAGAGACATGGAGAAGAGGGGACACATGTTGATGTAGAAGAGACATGGAGAAGAGGGGACACATGTTGATGTAGAAGAGACATGGAGAAGAGGGACACATGTTGATGTAGAAGAGACATGGAAGAGGGGACACATGTTGATGTAGAAGAGACATGAAGAAGAGGGGACACATGTTGATGTAGAAGAGACATGAAGAAGAGGGGACACATGTTGATGTAGAAGAGACATGAAGAAGAGGGACACATGTTGATGTAGAAGAGACATGAAGAAGAGGGGACACATGTTGATGTAGAAGAGACATGAAGAAGAGGGGACACATGTTGATGTAGAAGAGACATGGAGAAGAGGGGACACGTGGTGATGAAAAAGTGGATTTTGCATAATAGGTGACCTTTAATGAAAAAAGAGTATTCCTTGTTCGTCGTGTATTGAAGGGATTTTGTATTTATTTCGTGGTCATTCTTCCATACGTTAATATGGACCTTTAAATACATGAATTTGTGAATAAAGAGTTTACCCAAAACGATTTAATAATTTATCCGAAAGTCCTCCATCACTTTTAGAAGGGAGCCAGCCCTGGAACACAATTCATTCAGTTAGTATGCTTCTAGAGACAGCCACTACGGAACAGCCTCACAGGATCAGACCCTGACAGCCTGCAGCGACCTGTGACCTTTAACACCACAACCCTTAACATGTCTTCATTGTGTCCTCTCCCTCCCACATCTGTCCGTCCCTGTGAGTTCTGCTGGCCCTCGCTGTGTCCCGTTGTGATAGAAAGTACAGTAGGTACAGTGTTCGTATTTTACCACCCTTCTTTATATTCCTTGTCCTGTCTGTAAGGAAAGCATGCTAATGTCTCCTGTCCTGCATATCCTACCTGTGGATTCATTCTACCCGTTTGGTTCTGTTTGGGTTGTTTACCCAACTGCTTGTCAAATGTGCGTTTCAAAGAGACTCTCTGTGATTGTCTTATTGGCCGTGTCTCAATTCAGGGGCTGCACCCTTCGGAGTACTACACGGTCCACGGAGGACCCAGCCCCCCAGAGGACCTAGACCGGGTAGGCTGGACCGAGCGGCCTACGCAATGAGACGGTCTAGCTTACGGAGCACTTACGGTTGCGCTGCTCGGTTGCGCTGCTCAAGTAGCCTGCTAGCAAATTAGCTTACAAGCTGAAAAGGATCCAGACACTTTACTTTTAAATCTGGTGGAAATATTTAAAATAGGCTTTTTTTAGCTCTACCTCAAATCAGCATGAGCTGAATACAAAGGTTGTAATGTTGTCCCGAAGTTTAATAAACAGTAAAACATTGCAAAATGTCAGAGAAATAAATAAAGCTAACAGCAGCTACACGTCAGGGTAGCGTTTGATAAATCCCACCGCACTGTAGGCTATACCGGTCTAAATGTTTTCACTTTGGTCTATTTATGTATAAAGTATAACTTATCTATAACAGAGCCAAGATCTCTGTATGACTTTAGTAAACTTCTGAATTTAATTAAAAATAAGTGTAAACAACAGTGCAGTACGTCCAGCTAGCTAGTTAGCGTCACATATGTATCCGTATTATTTAACAAAAATGTACGTTGTAATGCCCCTTGGGTTTGACGTGTGTGACGTTAGTTAATTTAAAGTAAGTTAAAACCCAATACTCACATTTATTAGTGATTCCTCCGCTTGCTGCTGCTTTTAAATCCACTCTGCTGGGGAGACTGGAAGCCATTTCATTTGAAAAAAACTCCCTCTTCCCTGCGCGCATTGCACCCTGGGATATGGTAGGCTGCGGAGTGTATCAGATGTATCCTTCAAATCCGGGAAAAGTAGGCTGCATTCGTGGGCCGCATTCGGAGGAGTCTCGTCTTTTTTTAAATTGGGACGTCTTCTTTCGGCGGAAGTGACGTATGCGGTTTACAAATGCAGCCTCCGAAGGATGCAGCCCCTGAATTGAGACACGGCCATTGTAATCACACTACAAACCCTAGAATGTTCTAAAACTCGACTGAGAAGCTGTTTGAGTTCAAAGCGTTAGAACTTAGCAGGGGATACAAAGGGTTTTAACGGTTTCGTTTAAATAGAGGAAATAAAAACGTTCCTATCGATGTACATTAAAAAGGTGTAGTGCCTGCTCATGGTTATGATGAGACAGTGGGAGTTAGAGGAAAGATGGTAAGCTAACTCAATGGCAGTAATGTTCACACCTTCTCTTCACTTAGCGCTGTTCCGCTATTTGTCACGTAGTTGACTCATATTTCCCCAGCTACCCCATATGCATGCAGTAAAGTGTAAAAGTATTATTGTATAGTCAACAGAATTTACACAGCCTAATATTAGAAATCACAAATGCCTAAATATGCTTTTTATCTGTGGTCTACAGAATCCATCCTCAGACCCTCAAACTATCCGCTGCAAACGACTATCACAGCTTTAAAAGCACTTCCTTCTTTTACAGTAGTTCAGTGCTCACTATGGCTGCACTAATTGGAAGAAATAACTAATTGAGATCATTTTGACTGATATTGTGGTTACAATACGATTCAAGATATTGGAGGTATTGATCTTTTTGGCCACTTTATGGTTATTATGATTGAAACATATATACAAATGAGCCGTTTGAGTGTTTTTAAGAGGATCATTATTAATATTGCACTAGTCCATATCGCAATTTTGATTAATTGTGCAGCTGTAGTGCTCACATTATTCCTTATGCAGTTAGTGATTAGGTTGTGCTCACTAGGATGTTCACAAATAAAGTGTTCGATCGGTAATGCTTCTTCTATGCATGAGGTCGTGAAGTTGGTGCTGATGGGGACGCTGAGTATGATGAGGAGCCTGATGGTGTGCCCACTAACTCACCTTTCCTTTGTTTGTCTCCCCCCGCAGGTGAGGTGTGAGAGGAGGACGGTGAGGAAGGGGAGCTAAAGGATCCCGTTGTGTTTTGCATACAGGCGGGGCACGCTGGGACCAGGACCTACTACTTCAGCGCAGGCAGCCATGAGGACCAGGAGCAGTGGATCAGAGCCATGAGCCAGGCTGCAGCGGTCCCCAGTGAGCCGTCACAGAGGTGCTGCTCTCACACACACACAGCGCATGAAAAAGTGTTATTTTTGAGCCAGTGCTCCCCTAATGGTAGTATGTGCTATTTATATCTTAAAGGGACCTATCATGCAAAAATGCACTGTGTCCCCAGTGCGTCGGGGAACTCACGCGTCAGAAAATAAAACCCTCTCTCTTTTCCTCCGTACCCAAATCTTTTAAAAACGGGTGTACAACGAGCGGATACAGATTCCATCCGAACTGACGTCAAATAGGCAGCGGACCCACAGAAAGTTGCTATCAGAAACAATGCCTGACGTGTTTTTGGACGTAATCTCGTCTTTGTTACATTAGCAAGCCTCGCTAACACTCAGAGCTAACCTGTACTGGAGAGCACATGTGTTTAAAAATCAGGAAATAAACAACGGAACTCACCTTGTGATAAACCTGCAAGAGAAAAAGCATTTCAGCTCCATACTGTAACAATAATCCTTGACGTGGTTTAAACAGGATGGCGTTTTATCACAGCAGAATTTAACTTTATCTCCGGTAGAATTCTGATCAGGCATTAGCTCCGCCTCCTCTTCTTTCTTTTTCTTCAAGCTAAGGACCCAAAATCCGCGTTTCTCTAACAGGGCTGCAAAAGAGGGGTTTGCAGATCTGTTTGGTATTGTGAAAAAAAACTTCACAGACATGTTTTATATAGGTATGGCCCTACAATATATTTTTCAATATAGCATGATAGGTCCACTTTAAAGGAATGAAGCAGTATTACTCTGAGGTTGTTGCTGCCCTCTGGTGGTGCTTCAGAAAGACTATAATCAACTGCAATAATGGGCAATAAGACAGTTGTTGGTATTTACAGCTTCAATTCTTCTATACATCATACTTATTCCTTGAATATGGTCTACTATTTCAGATTTCATAATAATATAATACAGAAATTGTTACTGATCAGATACTTGACCTGCTGTTACATTTCTGATTTCAAATGGCCACTCTGACTCTTTCTTCACATTCACAGAATAAACCCCACAGTGGATCCAAACCACACTATGGTGACCAAGGCACCAAACACACAAACACACAATGATACTGTCAGTGACCCCCCCCACACCCTAAGGCCAACGGGGTCAACAGCCTTGAGACACCCCCACCCTCCACCCCCTGCTCCGTTCAGGAGGATAAAAATAATAACGGAAGACAAGGAGAAGGTGAGGATGGAGGGGGGAGAACAGGTCCGGACCCCGCCTCTCATCCAAGACCGCATCCAAATGGATGGGGCAACAACGGCCCTCGGAACAGCAAACCCCCTCTATCCAGGAGTCCCATTGGACATCATGCCCCCCAGGGCCACCCGGAGGGGGGGGATGCCCCCCGCAGGACAGCAGGGAGCAGCAGGAGAACGTTGTGCTGAGGAGGGGCTTCGTGCCCAGGACGGGTCCAGAGAGGGTGGCTCAGAGGAAGAGCTCTATGGCCCAGCTGCAACACTGGGTCAACCAGCGAAGAGGCATGGCCTCCGAGGAGGACCTTAACAGGTAGACCAGACCCTCTCACCCTCACTCTCTCTACACTCTATCTCAGCGTTGTTCTTGCTCCTAGCTTCAGATCATGCTTTAGCGGTCATTGGGATATACTGTACTGTGCGCCCTATACAATGATGTGATCATATCAACATTCTACCACCTTCTGCATGTGATTGTTAATTTTAATTTTTATACAGTACGATCTAGAAATATTATTATCAAAGCCCTGCACAGAGGCGGAAGAAGTACTCAGATTTTGTACTTAAGTAAAAGTAGAAGAACCAAAGTGTAGGAATACTCTGTTACTATTAAAAGCCCTGCATTGAAAATGTTACTCAAGTCAATTACAAAAGTATTGGCATCTAAATATATTTAAAGTACCAAAAGTAAAAGTACTCATTATGAAGATATATTTATGATAGATTCGCTCATTTCACAATCATATAATGTCTACATATTTGTCTCAAGTAAAGTGCCACAAAATTGTACTTACTGTAGGTACAGAACTTGAGTAAATGTACTTACTTTAAACCTCTGGCCTTGCACCTACCTTCAGGGTTGACAGACTTTCAAAGCCCTTATTCGTCTCTGGTAATCAATTTTTTTAATTTTTATATTTTCTCAAGACAGGAAAATACTTGCTTTGGGCTTATTGAAGATGTTATAGTGGCACAATATTTCCACACAAAGTGACTGCAGGTTCAATCGCAGGCACAGTTTATAACCTGCAACTTTAATACACAAGGGGACTATCAATCCAGCTGGAGCTGTTGGACTGGAACGTTTTTGCTACTTAAAGATCATAAGCAGATCTTTTCATAAAACCTACTGCTGTGATGAAACTCACTTAAAGGTTAATAAAAGTTATGGTAGAGTTAGGGTGATGTAAAATGAAACTCAGGATACAGAACACATGTAGTCTCATTCGGAGGCTAAACATTTCTTAAACCTTCCTGTCCTTCCTTCCAGCCCATCTCATTACTACGCAGCAAACCAGGGGCTTTTGGCGGACTTCTATGGCTACCCTGGTGGCCCCCAGTATATGGAGGAGTGCCCTCTTTACCCGCCAGGGGTCCGACCAGACAGTATCTGCTCTGTTTCTGCTATGGGGGGATACGACCCACGCTGGACCGTGGAGGAGAAGCGGCATTCACTGAGGGACGTACCCCATCAGCTGTATGGAGCCCCAATGCAGCGGGACCAATGGGGGCCGGCCTACTTTGGTGGAATGGAAAAATCCATGAGACGTCTGTCTGTACAGCCCCGCTCCAGGTCTGTCCCCAGGTCCCCGTCCTCGTCCTGTGGGGGGCCCTACTCCCCGATGCAGCACAGCTTCGCCTCGCCTGGCCGCTCGCCCTCCGCTCACTTCGACCGGCTCCCGGCCCGGCTGAGGGACGACGTGATCTACGCTGACCCCTCGGTCTACAGCCTGCGGAGGTCTCTGAGCTCCCCAAAGGTAAAGCAGTGATCGCTGCAGAAGCATACAGTGGATGTAGAAGTAACTGCCACCTCACAACTAGACCATTTATTTTCACAGGCCACAACTCACTTATATTGGTTTTAGTTAAATCCACGACTCTTGCGTAGGGGATTCAATATCTTAATTTCATCGTAACAAGCTTTTATTACGTTTTCCTAGTACAATAAATGAAGGTTTTGAGTTTAGGAAAGCTAATAAATTAAAACGTTCATTGAGGGAAAGACATAAGGCCCTTCAGCAGAATACAAATATTGTCAATGAGGCTGAAAGAGAGAATCACAGATGAATATTTAGTTTTCATCTTCCTCCACTCTAACAACTTTCATTCGTTCTTCGTTCCATTCCTCCCTTCCTTCTTTCCTTATTACCTTCCCTCCCTCCTTCAGTATGACTACCCTGGTGAAAGGAGGTCCTTAAGCCAAGGATTACACCACTACAACTACCCTGTATCCCCTTCCATCCACAATAAAATGGTACGTTCTGCCAATATGCTGTACTAATAACTCACACACACAGTTCTGGTGCTAGGCACAGTCTAGAGTAGTTTGGCAGTTGAATCAACAGTTCAACACTTTTAATAGGGGGAATGGGGGGGGGGTATTGGTTCAGGCCAGGGTGAGCATGATCAGCAGTCTCTAAGGACTAGTAGGTTTATTAGCTGGCTCTCTATATCTGTATCGAACCTGTCAGATGTTCAGCTGTGTTAGGGTTTGGCTTAGGGATGTGGACTCTAGTGTATTCTAATGCATGTTTGCACTTCTGGTTAGATGCTAACTACATTTCGTTGTCTTAGACCCTTGTACTCTGTGCAATGACAATAAAGTTGACTCTAATCTAATCTAACACACTCTAAAGCTGTAGA